GGTTATTGTTATGTTGTTTTTTTTTTTTTTACTTCTCATCAGATTGTGCATTCAACTAATATACACTAATAGTGTGTTTATTATTATGTTTTATAGTATTATTTCGTAAAATATTGGGTAACACAATTATAGTCACTAGTATAGTCTATTATATTATTGGGGTTTATAGCAGTTTGTGGTCTAATAGTATCATGCTTTATGAGTGGTGTTCTATGTAGTGATGATTAGGCAATAAAATATGCTTTGGGTGTTTATAGCAGTTTGTGGTCTACTAGTATCATGCTTTATGGGTGGTGTTCTATGTAGTGATGATTAGGCCATAAAATATGCTTTTGGTTTATTGCTAACAAAATATACTTTGCTCTACCGCTGTAGTGCAATAAATGGTGAAACTTACATACACCGTTAATAAAGTATTGATGGAAGAAGAAGTAAGAGGAAGAATTGTGGAGGTAATGAACAGTGAGACAATGTATAGCCTCCGGGATGGCGGCAGCGTTTCTGTTATTAATATATAATAAGACAATAGGAAAATATGTTGTTGTCTCTACCTGTATTATTACCTTTGCGATAGCATGGTTAGATTTGGGGAGGACAGAGGAAGGAGCAGGAGGTTAGGAAGGGATTTGTAGTGGGAGAGATAGTGTCTGTGATCCTCGGATCACCACTCCTCGGATTATGTCAGTTCAAGTTTAGAAGCTCAATCAACTTTCCCTGATTACGAATTGGCAACCTTTCGATTTACAACAGGTACCTACTTACTGCTACAGTAGGTAGGTGAACAGGGACCAAGGGGGCTAGGAAGAGTGTCCAAACAACTTGCCTGTGTGATGTAGTCGTGGCCAGAATTAGGTTAGGATACAGACACATCTGGCTAGTTAGTAACGCTGTACCCATACCGGAACACTCAGCATGTAAACTTTGTGATACACCTTTAAAGCACTATATTATTGAATGTGACACTGTCAAAGACTTCAGGCCACCTCACTTATTGTATCTTGAACTATGTCATTACTTCATTGAGGACATTACATTCTTGCTGTTTATCCCAAATTGGCTAGCTAGCTAGCCCACACTGATTAGTCTACAATTACAATATGACTCCAATGTATGCTGCTGGTAAATGTGTACTGTCAATGAACCAGAGTGAAAATAAGGTCGCCTCCCTTGCTGCTGCTGCTGCTGCTTCTGCTTCTGCTTCTGCTTCTGCGCCCTTCTAAGTCCCGTTTAAGTCCCCCCCCCCAGGCCCCCACAACCGCCCTTCACATCTACACCATTCAAAATCAATTTCACTCAATTTGCACAGAGTGTTATCCTGCAAAACGTTGATGTCGTATATTTCTCTCTTTAAGTGATATCCTGTGGCTCCGAAAGGAGCCTGTTTGGTTAGGTTGTCTTGTGTGAACGAACCTTGGGTTCTTATTTCTTCTCTGTCTTCTTGGGGAGGAGCACAGCTTGGATGTTAGGAAGGACACCCCCTTGGGCAATGGTGACTCCAGACAGGAGCTTGTTCAGCTCCTCGTCATTGCGAATGGCAAGCTGAAGATGACGAGGGATAATGCGGGTCTTCTTGTTGTCGCGGGCGGCGTTACCGGCCAGCTCGAGCACTTCTGCTGCCAGGTACTCCATGACGGCTGCAAGGTACACAGGGGCACCTGCACCAACGCGCTCAGCATAGTTGCCCTTACGCAAGAGACGGTGGATTCTACCCACGGGGAACTGGAGTCCGGCCCTGCTAGAACGGGACTTTGATTTGCCCTTCACTTTGCCTCCCTTGCCGCGTCCTGACATGTTGCTGCTGCTGCTTTTCGTGATAGGAGTTAAATTTCCGCCCGCCACCTTGGTCTTTTATACCAAGCTCAGGATCAGGCCAGGTGGCCGTCTCGCGGACCCAACCAATGTAAGAGAGCCGTAGCTGCAGCCAGTCTGATCCTGAGCGGCCCGCTCGGTATATAAGGAAAAGTTAGTCGGGCCAGTTTTCAATTCTCTCGCTCCGCGCCCCGAGTAACTGTGCCGCCATGCCTCCCCAAACTTCCGGAAAGGCTGCCAAGAAGGCTGGAAGGCAGAAAGCCATTGCCAAGGGTGACAGAAGAAGAAAGCGCAGGAGGGAAGGAAAGCTGGCATCTTTCATCTACAAGGCACTGGAAGCAAGTGCACCCCCGACACAGAGTCTCACTCCAAAGCGCTATGTATCCATCATGAACTCTTTCGTGAACGACATCTTCGAGCGCATCGCGGCCGAGGCTTCCCGCCTGGCGCACTACAACAAACGCTCCACCATTACAAGTCGGGAAATCCAGACAGCTGTCCGACTCTTGCTGCCCGGTGAACTGGCCAAGCATGCCGTGTCTGAGGGCACCAAGGCTGTCACCAAGTACACCTCTTCCAAGTAAGAGGTTACTTGTGCACAACAAACACGCCATCCCACTACTACAACTTAATCGGCTCCTTCGGAGCCACAGTTACATGTTAAAGAGACAGTTACCGACACAAATATATTGAGAGGGAAATAAATAAAAAAAAATTATAATAATCTGCATTCTCTATTGGCGTAGAAACAGGACTAAATCGAAACATTATAAATAAATAAATAAATAAATTCTGCATTAGTGCTTTTGCACCCTGCAAGTGACATACATAGAGTGTGTTTGGGCTTCATTTCTTGTTTGCAGCACGCCTATTTCATGTAAACAATTCATTTTATTTTATTTTATTGAATTTTCTTTTATTTTAGTTATTTATTTACTTACTTATTCTTTATATATTAATTTGTTACTAGCTCTTGTTTTTTGCACCCACCCACCTCCCGAATTGATGACCTACTATACATTCGTGCCTGCACGACTGTTACCAACTTACCGTTAGGCGATTTGGGTAACCTAAATTAACGCTCTCCTACCACCAACCATTTCGATTGTCATGAAAATTATCTTCAGAACAGTTCTTTGGCCCTGAGAAGGGCCGAGTTATAGATGTCTGGTAGGTTTTGTTGTGCTTTTTCTTTTTCCCCAAGGAAGAGGACTTAAGCACGCTCTCCGCGGATGCGCCGGGCCAGCTGGATGTCCTTGGGCATGATGGTAACGCGCTTGGCGTGAATGGCACACAGGTTGGTGTCCTCGAAAAGACCCACCAGGTAAGCCTCAGAGGCTTCCTGCAGAGCCATGACGGCAGACGACTGGAAGCGCAGGTCAGTCTTGAAATCCTGGGCGATCTCACGCACCAGGCGCTGGAAGGGCAGCTTCCTGATGGGTAGCTCTGTGCTCTTCTGGTAACGACGGATCTCACGAAGGGCGACGGTTCCGGGCCTGTAACGATGGGGCTTCTTGACACCACCGGTGGCTGGGGCGGACTTGCGAGCTGCCTTGGTGGCAAGCTGCTTCCGTGGAGCCTTGCCTCCAGTGGACTTGCGGGCAGTCTGTTTAGTACGGGCCATCTCGACGACGAAATAGTCAATACGGGCGGCCCGGCAGGCGGGCGGGCTTATATACAGACATTCTCCCCCTCAGTGGCCACCTCATTGGCCACGAGTGCCGCATGCGTCATCCGCAAGCTACGCCCCACCTCCAAGAGGGAGGGACGGCCTTGGATGAACGATACTACCGCTGCGTCCACAGCACGCCACCTACTCCCACCAAACCGTGGGCCCGAAACGGTGTTACAAATGCCAGCACTATGGACACACTGTAAACAAGTGTGAGGCGCAGGAAGACACCTGCTCCATGTGTGGCAGCCCTGGACACCGCTACACGGCCTGCCCCAACACAGAGAAAAAATGCGTTGCCTGTGGTGGCCCACACTCCTCCGCCGACCGGACCTGCCCCAGATGGAAGGAGGAATGCAGGGTAGCCAAGGCCCGTCTTGAGAAAAAACTGAGCTACAAAGAGGCCCTCCTTGCTGTACGCTCCCAAGAAAAGACAAAACCAGCAGTAAAGAAAAACCAAGAAAAGAAAACTCAACAGAAGCAGCCCACCACACAGAACCAAGAACACCACGTGGCCCGTGGTGCTGAAGCCCACGCGGCCAGTGGTGCTGAAGCCCACGTGGTCAACCTCTCCCTCTCTGAATTCTTCCACACCTATGAGGACTTAAAATACGAGGAGGAAGACGAACAAGAAGACCCAAACACAAACGAATGGACAATTCAAGAGAGCAAGAAGAGGAGGAGAGTGAGAAGAAAATCGACATCAAGCTAAGAAGACCAAGACATCCCCTCCACACAAGAAACCAAAAACACATCAAGCCGACCAAGCACTGAACATCCATTGCCCAACCCAACACGCACCTGACGCCTGACCTGACGCTTGACCTGACGCTAGCCTGGCCTTGTCTTGTCGCCTCCCTGCCGCGTCCAGCCGGGTTGTTGCTGCTGCCCCCATCTTATAATCCCTCACGCAAGCGGTGTTTAGCCACTGCATCTGTTCTCTCCTCCTAAAATTCACTTCAATCCTCCCTTTATTCTTCTCCTGAACCTCCTTCCCCCCTGTCACTAGCATTTTTCGATTCGATTCGGCGAAGCCACACCAGGACCACCTGTAGTAGCAACCACAACAACATGACTGGACGAGGCAAGGGCGGCAAGGGACTTGGAAAGGGTGGCGCCAAGCGTCATCGTAAGGTGCTTCGTGACAACATCCAGGGTATCACCAAGCCCGCCATTCGTCGTCTAGCTCGGCGTGGAGGTGTTAAACGTATATCCGGCCTCATCTACGAGGAGACCCGCGGCGTCCTCAAGGTGTTTCTGGAGAACGTCATCCGTGACGCCGTCACCTACACCGAGCACGCAAAAAGGAAGACCGTCACCGCCATGGATGTGGTTTATGCCCTGACACGGCAGGGCCGCACCCTTTATGGTTTTGGTGGTTAATCAACCTGATGGACGGGCGCACACCACCACCACCACCACGACAAACAAATATACGGACCTAATTTTAGGTCCACATTTAAATCGCTAAAGAGTTGGTTAGACACTGAGTAAATCGTTGAAAATATATCCAATAACATGATCCTCTCTAATTCTGGACTTGTGGTATGAGTATAGGTTGTGTGTGAACGTGTTGGAACCACTTCCTAATAATTGTCAATCAGTCAGTCAGTCAGTCAGTCAACATTCACCTAACCTCCAGGTACCTCACCTAACTTCCTGTAGCGTCACCGAACCTCACGAAATGTAACCCAATGTAGTTTATAATCTATCCTAACATGACATAACATAACCACGCACTATATTACTTCGGTAAGAGTAATGAGTTTTAATACGCAAAGTTGCAGTTAGCATTCATTCATACATACATACATACATACATACATAACATGCTAGTGGCAGGGGGGATTGAAGTGAATTTTAGGAGGATAGAATAGGTGCAGTGGCTAAACAGCGCTTGCGTGAGGGACTTTAAGCAGCAACTCGCCTGGATGCGGCAGGATAGAGTCAGGTCAAGCGTCCGGTGCATGTTGGGTTTCGCCATGGTTTCTCAGTGTTTGGTCGGCTTGATTGTGTGTGTTGTTTTCTTGTTTGGAGGAAATGTCTTGGTATTCTTCTTCTTAGCTTGAAGTTGATTTTCTTCTAACTCTTCTCCTCTTGTTGTTCGTCTTCCTCGTGTCTGCTATCATTCTGTAAAGACTCTCTATATGTATGTAGGTATGAGTGAGTAACAGTTGCCGGTTACAGTGATACTTCATATTCGCTGGTGTTGTACTGTATGGCTTCGGTATTTCTTAATATACAAACGGCACCGTTAGGGGATTGAAGTATTTAAAAACCAGCCTACATTACTTATATATAGAAATAAATAATGTGGCTTGGACAATAATGACGACTACTCTCTCCTACCTAACCCAAACAAGGGCTTTTCGAAAGTATACATTGGACACAATTGACTTAGTACATACATTGGTGGATTAACAAAAGCCCTCATTAGAGAAAGGTGAAGGAGCACACAGTGAACATACAGATTAATGTTTGCACGCATAGATCATGTAAGGTGAGGTGTTGAACACCAGACACGTAGTGTAGTAACTCCCTCACAGATGGCGTTATGAGGGGCCTGATGATGTAGCAGTTACCTCACAGATGGTGTTATGAGGAACTTCACATGATGATGCTGTAGCAAAACATTCACTACGTGGTGTCGTAGCATCTTGGGGACACCACATGGTCCACATGACTCACTCATTCAAGTGGGTGAGGTGTGGTCCCAGGCCTCTCTATCGTGGAGTCTCAGGGGAAGTATAACCGGGTACCTGGGACCTCACTGTGTGAAGGTGGTTAGCTAGCTTGGGTAAGACTCAACTGCCGAGTTGTTTTTCACTGAGTTAAGCACTGTTCACCACTATTCATCACTGGTTCCATTCCTTTGCCAAATGAGGTAGTACCTTATGGCAAGAACTTGTTGATAGTCCGGTGGGGAGGAGGGTTCAGGGGAGTGAGTTGGTATGGGCCAACATATAAATAATAATAATAATAATAATAATAATTAACGGTTTATTGAAAGTGCTTGGCAGCCAGAAGGCTGAAAATATACAGTTACATATTTGGGGAATGGGTTACGAATTACAAATAATATACAAGTAACATGAGTGACACAAATAAGACATATAATAACTAGCTGGGGAAAAGCTCAAACTACAGTTCATTTCAGCATAGTGACAGTGCAAGGAGTAGTGTTTACTGGGAGTGAGTACACTGATTTATTACAAGTTATCGATAATTTTTACAATGGTTGGGACTGGGCTGTTCTTATAGCGATCAGTTCGTGCACGTATGGGCTGGGCTGGATGCGGTTGTGGTGTCGAAGAGCAATTCTCGGACTAGGGATCTCAGGTGGTAGTAGGAGCCGGTGTAGAAGCTTCTTACCAAATTTGCAGATGAGGTCGTGGTGATGGTCAGTGAGAGTCTAAAGGGTCGGTCAGGGTGTTGAGCGCTTCTTGATATGTGGAGTAGGAAGGGTAGAGAATAATCTTGCATGGCCTCTTTTGCACTTTTTCTAGGTGTTTACGTTGTGTGGCATTTAGGGAAGAAGACCAGGTGAGCTTGGGAAGTATGAATGTTGTGTAAACACTGAGGAGCTCGTGTGCAGGAACACCGAGGGACTTGAGTCGGCGTAGGAGGTGGAGACGGAAACTGGAGGAGTTGATAACTTCACTGACGTGTGGTTTCTAATTTAGTTTGTTGTCTATATGTATGTGTGTGTGTGTGTGTATATACTACTGTACTTTTTAGATCCTCCTACGCAACCTAACCTATTATAGTTAAGTATAGTAGGCTATACACTATTTTGTTAGTATGTGTTATAAAATGTAATTGCATGTTATTATTATTAATATTATTATTATTAATATTATTATTATTCTTATTATTATTAGTATTATTATTATTATTATTATTATTTTTATT